CCCCCCCCCCCCCCACCCCTGTGTGGTTAGATCTCTGCCTCCAGGCCTGCCCTCCTCTGGGAGATGAAATTACATTGAAGACTAGGGACTTGGGATCAACCATTTGCAGAGCCCCTACTATGTACCAGGCTCTGTAATAAGCACGTCACACAAAATAGCCCTATTACTATTCCATTTTAAAGATGAAGAAATTAAGGCTTTGGGAGCTTAATAATAACGAGGAATCTAGGTTTGTCTGAATCCAAAACTGAGGACTTTTCCTTTGCATATGTGGGCATGACTAAATCACAAATATTTAGTACAAGTTTTCTTCCTCCCTCTTTTCCTTCTTTTGTCCCCAAGACACCCAGCATGGGCCCACCATCACCTCAAACTCAGCCACCAAAAAAATGAGCTCGAAAGCTTCACTCCATCCTCCCCTGCTCAATGTCCTGCCTTTGTCAAGGGCTTCAGTCTCCTCCTTAACAGTGTCCCATCCTGCTGTCCTTCTAAAATATAACCGGAAAAAATAAATTAATAAAAATAAAAATTTAAATTAAAAAAATAAAATAAAATACACCTGGGAAGACTGCTGAGGGCAATGGCCACAGAAGGGTGTCCTCTCCTCACTGGCAGGCACAAAGACCATGCCCATGCTTTTCCAGATCCTCCAAAGCAGCCACCATCTCCCTGCCTGTACGGTTCCACATCTCTCAACATTCTTTCCCTTTGCCATGTTTCTCCTAATCTAACTGCAAGGAACTGAATGGAAAAAATTTTGTTTCCATACACCAGGAATAAATGAAATGATCCCCCCAGGTGGGCTGGATAGACAAAAATCGTAAACTCCAGAGACTCACCTGAGGCTCCCTTGGAGCAGAGGCTACAGGGCTAAACCTCCAGACAGGTTGCTGCCTAAGTTGTGACTGGGTAATGAATTCTCAAAACTCCTTTGTTTCCAGTGAAGCATGGGAAAAAAAAAAATAATAATCCCTCCCCAGAGTCACACAATGTGACTGGGCCTAGAGTAACTGAAATGTAACAGGGCAGCAAGGATAGGTATTCTACTAGGAGCACAGAAGGAAAATCACTGGGATTCCATACAGTCATGCTCTTGAGAATTTCGGGTTTAAGAGAAGATGACCAGAGAATTACTTCCTAAAACCTAAGCAAGAGGATTAGATAAGGAACTGAGTCAAGAAGGACTCAGAATGTCCCTTGAGTAGATTTTCCAGGATTGGATGCCCTGGGAGACCCATTCACGGAAATTCTGTGGATGCCAAGTTAGGTTTCTGATGGTTACCAAGGACATATAAATTATCTGAATAAGTTTTCATCGACCAGAGGAACTAGAATTCAGTTTCCACAAGGCTGGGACACAAAAAGGCAGAACTAGGAAGTGGGATGAAGACAACTGACTTGGTGCTGTCTGTGTCTCTCTGGAAAAACGAGAAAAATCAAGACTGAACTTAAGATTCCCTCTGTATTTATTTATTTATTTTTGGCTGTGTTGGGTCTTTGCTGCTGCATGCAGGCTTTCTCTAGTTGCAGCGAGCTGGGGCTACTCTTCGTTGCAGTGTGTGGGCTTCTCATTGCAGTGGCTTCTCTCGTTGCGGAGCACGGGCTCTAGGCATGCGGGCTTCAGTAGTTGTGGCATGTGGGCTCAGTAGTTGTGGCTCGTGGGCTCTAGAGCGCAGGCTCAGTAACTGTGGCGCACGGGCTTAGTTGCTCCGCAGCAGGTGAGATCTTCCCTGACCAGGGCTCGAACCCGTGTCCCCTGCATTGGTAGGCGGATTCCTAACCACTGCACCACCAGGGAAGTCCCAAGATTCCCTCTCTTGAAGCAACATTTGTGTACACAGCCTTCTGCCTGCCTGGGGACGTGGTCTGCCTAAGTTTTGCAAGCCAATCATTAAATGCAGCCATTATTAAAATTTAAACTATATCAATTTACAATTAAGTGAATTCTACTGAGACACAGGAGATAAGTACTCAAAATTCATCCCTTCCTAATTAGTTTCTATAGTTCATGATTGTCTCAGTCCTTGAGGTTATTTACTTCGGCAGGGATGGTGTGATACTGCACATTTCTCACGATTCCACGCCAGGACATCACGCTGGTAGCCTGAAAGCAGCCATGATAGGAGAATTTTCTTCAGGGAAATAGCACATGATACACATCAGGGCTTCCCAGCCCCCTATACCCTCAACCTCGCTCCCAAAGCCACTGGTAAACATTTACCACCAGAAATGTTCTCCTCTAACACTGACAAGGTTTCACGCAGGAGAAATGAAAAAAGGTCAAGGTGTCCCTGAAGCAAAACCTTAGAAGCAGAAACTTCCCCCTCTCCTCACCCAGAGGTGATAAGTGCAGTGATAATTTATTTAGGGATTTGGGAACTCCCCTGGCTTCTCTGTTGAGTCACCCTGCCAAAAGTTGTTTGCAGAGTCTCTCTAAAATCTCTTACTGCTCTTTAATGAGCTTTTCTTGCCAGAGCCTCGCTGTTCTCACCTTTCAAAGGAAGGCTAAGTCTGAGCCCAGCTCCCTGGTTGCTAGAATGGGGAAGATGATGTCATTCAACACAACCTGTACAGTTGACTGACTCTGTCCCTCACCTCCTTGCAGAAAGCTGAGCTGGAGGCTCCTCAGACTGGGAGAGCCCTCCCCAAGTCACCCTATTCAATCCCCTGTCTTAGGGCAAAAGTGTGCCAGGCCCAGTGCCCTGCTTGAAGCTCTAACTTTTTTTTTTTTTGCAGTACGCGGGCCTCTCACTGTTGTGGCCTCTCCCGTTGCGGAGCACAGGCTCCGGACGCGCAGGCTCAGTGGCCATGGCTCACAGGGCCAGCTGCTCCGCGGCATGTGAGATCTTCCCAGACCGGGGCACGAACCCGTGTCCCCTGCATCAGCAGGCGGACTCTCAACCACTGTGCCACCAGGGAAGCCCAAAAGCTCTAACTATTTATGAACAAATCATCCTATAGGTGCTCATAAATGTTTCCAAATAAATGAGGGGATGGATGGTTCCTGCAGTTCTGTTCCCCTCACTGCTTAATCCCCTTACCCGCTGTATCCCCATCCATCCTCAATAATCCCCACCTCCACGCCCTCACTCCAAGACATTTGTTCCTGGCTCCCTCTGTCCCATCATCATCTCTACTTTCTCTTCCCAAGCTCTATCAAGGCAGAACCAGAGATGCCATCACGCTTTTGCAAACACCCAAGCCAACCAGAAGGGTTTCCTAGTTATGTACAACCAAGCAGGGTTTGGGGGCTTCCTCTGTCAACAAACTCTGAGGTCCATCCATACCCCACACTTCACATGGCCACAGGGTAGAAGCAGAAAGAATTAGGAAGCCCAGCTTCTCCTCAAGAGAAGAAGAGGCAAAAAGAAAAGGAAGTGCCTGGGGTCTCAACAGGCAGATGGCTGGGCAGAGGCAGGTAGAACAGAGTGACCTTCAAGTACTATGCTCTTCAGAAGACCCTCAACCCCTAGACTAGGCATCGGTCCATTTTTTTGCCTGTTGCAGTCATCCTGTATGGAGTACAGCCACTTGGTCCACTAGAGGCAGCTGAATTGGAAATGTGATGCTTAGGGCTCCCTAAGAGTAGAACTTGGACCAAGGGATAAAAACTATGTGGGGTCCAAAATTGGGTTGAATAGGAGAAATATGGACATATCTCTGACCGTCAGAGGCCAAATGGGCTGCTTTGGGAGGTAATGAGATGCCACTGCAGGTATTCAAGAAGAGGTCTTTTGTCAAGAAAATATCTTTTGTCAGGAATGCAGTAGAAGGAATTCAAATGTCAAAGAAAAAAGCCTGATGTCCCAGAGTCAAACATGCCTGGATCAAAACCTGTTATTACATTTGTGGCCTTGGTTAAGATAACTAGATCCTCTGAGCCTCAGTTTCTTCATCTATATAATGGGTACTGCACCTCATAGGATTAAAGTAAGGATTAAATTAGACAAAATATGGGAAAGTACCTGGAATTCAGAGGGTGTCCAATAAATGTCAATCCCCCTTCCATTAAAAAAGGGACTAGGTTAGATGAATTTGGTCTTTCTACCCCCAGAGTATGACTCTGAAACCCTTCCCGGTTTTTGAGAAGGATGGCATACATCTGGGAGAGAGAAGGAAGTCAGGATTTCGTAGGTAAGGGGAGAAGGAAGGATGATGCTGAGAATGGTCAGGGAATATTCAGAGAGGTCATCCCTGCCAGTACCTTGTTTCCTTTCTTTTGATTTCTGGAATAAAAGAGAAAAGTGGGATTCTGGATTTAAAATCAAGCCTGAGGAGTCTCGGTTTCCCCATCTGCATAGGGAAGGAATAGGATTAGACAGCCCCTTCCAGCTCTAACTGTTCCCGATCTAAGGAGGGGGAGGGGGGGAAATGGTGCAGAAATGATGCGGGACGACAGAGGGAGCAACGCGCCCCCCCCCATCCCTGAGCAGGGCCCACCACCCTGACCCCATGCCCAACCCTCCGTGGAACCACAGTCACCTCAGTCTCGAGTCTTACATTTTCTTTATTGTGCTAACACTGCCGCCTCGGAGCTCAGGCCTCACACGCACAGTTCAGTCCAGACCCCCACCCACCCGGCCCCCGGGTCTCTCTGCCTTGGCTGGGGACACCTGGCCTCCGGCCTCCAGCGCTCTCGGACACTTCCTCCCTCCCTCTGCCCGAGCCTCAGGGCCGCAGGGATGCGGAGAGGGCCGAGATGGCCTCTCTTCCCTCCCCCTCCCCCTCCCCCTTTAGGGGAGGAGGAGCAGCCGCCCAACTCAGCTCCCAAGGGAAACTCTTCCAGGCCCCCTGCCGCCGGGCGGCCCTGGGCAGGCGAGGTCGGCGCAGGCCCGAGCGCGTCCCCAGCTGCAGGCAGAGAGCCCGCACCCTCCTCCCGGCCGGGCAGGAGCCGGGCGCCGCGCGCTCACACCAGGAGGCCATCCTTGCACGGCAGCGTCCCCTCGGCGGCGCAGTCGGCTGGCTTTGCACTCTCGACCTTGATGTAGACCTGGGACTGGTCCGCTTTGGAGTCTAGAGGGGCGGCGGCGGCGCTGGACGCCAGGGCCAAGTCCTCGGGGACTTCGCAGTGATGAGGCGCGTATTTGAGGCTCAGGGAGTGCCTGATCTTCTGCATCGGGTACCCCAGGAATTGGGTAACGCTGCTGCCGCGCCCTTTGGCCTTGCACCCGGGCGCCACGTCGTCCTCTCTGTGGAAAACAGCAGGCGCGCGGGTGAGCGGGCTCCTCCGCCGCGCGGCGTGGGCACGGCCTGGGCAGAGCCGGGGGCTCTTGGCAACCTCTCCTCTCCCGCGCCTCCCTCCGCCTCCCCTCCTCGCCTCTCAACCTCAGCCTCGACCTACTCTTTTCTCTGCCTCTTCCTGGGCCAACGACCCCGCAGGACTCCCGGGGGCACCATCCCCACCCTCCAGACAGGGCTTGTCCACACGTGCCCACGGTGGGCAGGCAGCCCCATCTAGGCGCTCCACTCCCCTTCTGATCTTTTTGCAGGACCGCCGGCTCGGATAGAGAGGGCACCTTGGAGATCCAGAAGGAGCTGCTTTCCCTGTCCTTTCCTTAACTAACCTTGCCCTTGCCCTCCCCCTCTCTCCCCCCCCCCCCCCTCTCTCTCTTCTCCTTACCTGCCTCTTAATCTTCTCTCTCTTTTCCTCCATACCCAGGGCATTGCAATCATTAGCACTGCTAGTTTTGTTCTATTTTTATTTCTAGTCTGTTTCTAATATAAGTTATTAGCGCTATTATTTATATTAATTAACTCTTCTTAAGTAAGCACGTCCAAGAGTTCTCACCGGTGCAATAGAGGGGAAAAGTGAGAAAATAAATACAGGCCCTGCCCTGCAGGAGCTTACAGTCTAGACAAGACAGACAGACAGGTGCAAAGACGGGAGGGAGATGGAGGGCAGGGAAGCAGAAGTGAAGACTGGACGTGGGAAGCGGGAGAGAGAAACACAATACGACGAGTGGCCGGTCAACATGTTGGGGTCCAGCACTCCATGGCGATGGCAGGCAGGGTTGGGGTGGGGGTCCCAGCCAGCCGGTGGCAGGCAGGGGTGAGAAGGGGCAGGTCTCCATCCCCCTGCAGCACAGCAGCATGCATCAGATTTTACCTGATATCATTAGGCAAGTCGCAGCAGGCCTTTCTGCGGACCTGGCCACAGCAGCAGAAGGCACCGGGGGGCCCCCTGCAGCAGCCACGGACGAGCCCCCAGATGCCCAATATCAGGCAGCCCAGCAAGAGTAAAGAGCCCAGCACTGCGCCAACGATTATTCCTATGTGCCAGGCTCCTGGGGAGAGAAATAAAGATTAGTCAGGCTTTCTGCAGACTGGCAGATGCCTGGCTAACCAGGAGTTGCAGGGGCAGGGTGTCTGTGGGAAAGAGGATGGGGGACCCAGGGGATCTCAGGGCCCCTGGACACACAGGGAGGAATATATGGGGAGATGCAAGTTAACCCCTCATGTCTGCATGTTTCTCCCAGGGCTTCCCAGCTGCCCCTGGCAGAGCTATGCACTGATGGCAGTGGGAAGGCAGAGCCAGCTGAGGCTCCAATATACAGCACAAGTTTCTCCAGTCCAACCCTCCCAGCCACGGGGCCTCCAGGGCCACTGCCCCTGCACCCACCTGAGACCTTCATCTCCACCACACATACGCTGTTGCCTACTTGGTTGGTCACTGTGCACTGATACAGCCCATCATCCTTGAAGGAGAGGTCCTTCAACACCAGCTCACCATAGTTCATGCCTGAAACTGAAGGAGCATCAGAGGGCTATGGTGAGACCGAGGAGCCTGGTCTCTGAGAGCTTCACCCCAGCCTAGACCACTGCAGGGTGGGGCATGGAAGGAGGGAAGGGTGTGTGCACACACACAGGTCCACCCCACTCTCCAGGTGAGTCACCTTCTCCCTGCTGAAACAGAGAGGCAAGGAAGGAACCCTTTCCCAGCAACAGGAGAGAAACCATGAATTCACTCTGTGACCTTAAGGAAATATGTCCCCTCCCTGAGCCTTGGTCTCCTCATTTGTACAGCGAGGACAGGGTTACACCAGAGGAAGTCTAAGGTCTCTTCCAGCTCTGGTAGTCTTTGACTGTGAGTACTAGGCAGCTTCTGCCTGTGCCAGAAGCTTTATATGCCTCATCCATTTAATCCGTACACGCCCCTGGAAGATAGACATTACCATTCCCTTTTCATATACTGTAGAATGAAACTAAGGCACAGAGAGGTGAAGCCACTTGCCTGGGCCTTGTAGCCAGTTATGGTCCAGCCAGGATTCAAGCCCAGCTCTATCTCAGACCACGCTCTTTCCAAATTAACCATACTGCTTTCAACTGACTCTCCCCTTTTGCCTCCTCTTCCCTCAGTAGCAGCTTCTGGAACAGGCTCAGAGGAGGGGTCTCCCACAGGGGTTTTATGTTTGACTTGGCGCCACTGATGAACCAGGGAAGCCCCAGTGGGACCCAGCGTCCCAATCTTCCCCTCTCCCCGGGTCCCCTCACCTTGACTTATGGAGCTGTAGGACTCGTCGTAGGAGACCTCAGACTGGAAGGTGTCCTGGGACTGGTAGGAACTGGCACGGTAGGGGTAGGTGCGCCCCCTGATCTTTCTCCACTTGTAGGTGAGAGGCGGGCTGCCCCCACTGACAAGGCACTTCAGCACCGCATTGTTGCCGTATGACATGAGGCCCTCAGACCAGCACATGGGCACCATAGGCCGTGCTGCAGGGAAGGGGGCAGTTGTGAGCCAGGGTCCAGCCAAGAGGCAGAGCCAGGCTCAGGGTGGCCAAGCCGCCCTTGGCTCTGACGTCTGGGGAAGAGAAGCTCAGAGGAGTCCGGTCGTACCTAGGACAGTGATGATGACCGTCCGGGTGGCCACGGTGGTCTTCTTCACCCGGCACTCGTAGGTAGCTGTGTCGGATACCTGCAGGTTCGAGAGGTTGATGGAGGCATCGTACTGGCTGGGATCTGGGGCTGCAAAGTGGGCCCTCTTCTGCAGATCGGGGAGGTCGCCATGGTTGACCCTCTTGTCCCGGTAACTAAGGAACTGTGAAGAGCAGAAAACAGAGATGGTGAGACAGGGAGAGCCAAAGAAGGCCTTGTGCATTGGCTGTCTTGGGCAATGCACTGAACTTTTCTGAGACTCAGCTTTCTCAGCTGAAAAATGGGAACGATGATGCCTGATCCACTGACTTTCAATAGAATGTGTGAGATCAGATGAGATCAAGCACTATCTGCCTAACGTCTACCTTCCAGGGGCCTGTGAGGATTAAACGGGTTGAGGTGTGTAAAGCTGCTGGCACACAGAGCAGCCGGCTCGTACTCAAAATCAAAGACTTATCATCAGAGCTGGAAGTATATTGTCTGGGCCAAGACAGTGCCTCATCTTCCCTTTGGAGTGGGGTGGGAGGAAGCTGACTGACTGGCTGACTTGATTGGTGATTACAGAGCTCCTCCCTCTTCCCTCATTCTCTGAGAAGGCTTGGGGGAAGTTCAAGGCCTTGGTTTTCTCATCTGCCCTGCTTTTCCCCTCAGGGTGCTGGCTGCCCAACAGGTAGATACCATGAAGTGTAGAGTAAGGGGAATCCTGTGCCCAGCACCTACCACTTTCTCCTGACGTGAGGGTTCTGGGTTGACCTGCATCCACTCGATGCCCAGCCCATTAGGACCATAGTCCTCAGGGTCCAGGATGTAGGGGCAGTTCAGTCTCACGCTGTCACCTTCTGCCACGTTCAGGATTTCTTTTTCATTCCCACTGATCTGCACAGCGGGCAGCAGTGCTAGGACACAGGCAGGGCAGGTGGGGTAAGGGGAGCAGGACCAGGGCTTGGGTGGTCAGCTTCAGCCCCCCTCCCTCCACCATTCCTGTCAGTGGCAACCCAGGGCTCGGTGGGGGTTCCACAACGAGGAGGGGCTGCTCTGAGCGTGTGCATAGGTATGTGCATGAATTGATAGATGCATGTCTATGCAGACTTGTGTAAGCATGTCTGTATTGTATGATTGTGTAGGGTTGCATCTATACAGTTTGTATATATGTGTGTGTGTATATATATATATATATATATATATATATATATATAGCTGTTAAGAATGCTTGTATGGGGGACTTCCCTGGTGGTCCAGTGGTTAAGACTTCACCTTTCAATGCATTGGGTTCGGGTTTGATCCCTGGTCGGGAAGCTGAGATCCCACATGCCTCGCAGCCAAGGAACCGCGACATAAACATAAAACAGAGTGATATTGTAACAAATTCAATAAAGACTTTAAAAACAACAGTCCACATCAAAAAAATCTTAAAAAAAAAAAAGAATGCTTGTATGTTTGCATGATTGTGTATCCATGTATGGTTGTATACACATATGTACATTGCACGTTTACGAGTGTTTGTGGCTGCTTATGTGTACTGTAGGGAGATTCATGCACATGACCAGGTAGAGTGTCTGCTTATATATTTACATGACAGCGCATGTGTGTGCATGTGCGTGCGTGTGTGTGTGTGTGTGTGTGTGTGTGTGTGTGTGTACAGACACATGGAGCACATAGGGTTGTTAAATGCTCTGATGGAAGAGGCTCGTTGGTTAAAAGCCACCTCTGTCTGGGCCAAGTGAGCTGGTCGTGTCTAGAAGCAGGAGGATGGACACCGTGGCCCCTGGAATCCCTTTCCAGCCCAAGGAGCAGAAGAATGCGTATGTCTCTGTATGTTTGTGTATGACAGCGTGTGACTCTGGCTGTATGCCCGTGTGACAGTGAGTGCCTGGCTGTGTAAGTGCTCTGAGTGATAGTGCGTGCCTGTGCGTGACTGTGACCAGGAGCCTAGCTGGGTCTGTGTGTGATAGTGAGTGATGGTGCTGGGACCATGGCCACACGCATCTGTAGGACTGGTGAGCCTCGCGTGAAGGCGTGTGGCATTGTGCGCTTTGAGTCCTTCCACTTGTGTGATCGTGTGGCCACCTCCACGTGCTCGCTCCAGTTGGGGCCCCTCCCGCTACTGCCAGCCTCAGCCGCACTGAGTCAGCCTGGGATGAAGAGCCAGGATCTGGAAGCTCAGGACTGATCTCTCCCTCCCTAACCTGAAGCCCCAGGCAAGTGCTAGCCCCAACCGGTTGGCCTAGAGAGGAATATGAAGGTGGAGGTGTGCCCAGGGCCCCAACCCTGGCTAGGCTGGCAGCATGCCACCTCCCAGCCTCCTGCAATCCTCCCTCTGCCGGCCCCTCCCCCAGCCTGGCTCACTCTCCTGTGAGAGGCAGCAAGTCCTTTGGAGCCCCAGCCCTTGGTCTCAGCAACTCATCGTGCTCTGCCCTTCTCTGGCTCTCTCCTGGTACCACCTTCACACTTGGAGAGCATCTCACACACAGAGTTGCACACTGTCACAGCCAAAGAGGTCAACACATAGACACACTCTTATAAGCCTTCAAAATGCAGATACCTACCTATGCAGTCCCACCTTCTCACACACACACACACACACTGTCGAGTCCATACAGACACACATCTACACACAAACACAAGTGCGTATTAATCCAGAAGGCACACCTGCTGTGCACACTTAGAGCCCCGCATTTGTAATCATGCAAGACCAAACATACCCGCAGAAGCTTAGTCCGGCCCTAGAGAGCCAGCAGGCACCCTCTCAACACCCCTAACAACTCAGGCATCACTGAACCTGCCCCTCGGAATCCTGGCTGGGCCATCAGCCACGTCCTAACCCCCCTAGGCTCCAGGTTAACCCAGAGCAGGCAGGCTAGCTGCTGGGGGCTCTAACAGGACCTGGTGATGCCTCCTCCAGCGCCAGGCCAAGCTAACACCAGCCCACTCCTGAGATAAGGATCCTGATGCCATCTGCCAGGTCCTGGGCTGTCACAAGGCAAACCAGAAATGAGCCAGAACTCAGCAGAGAGCAGAGGCCCCACCCTGGGGAAGGACTGCCGAAAGCAACCCACGACAAGAGAACAGCCTCCATGCCCTGGGAGCCAGCCGGACAGGAAGGTAAGTATTCCGGGAAGGGGGCTTGAGAAGGAAGGACAGGCTGGAAGAGAGTGCCTCCACCCTGCACTAGGCAGAGTGTCTGCCCCTGTCCCAGGCCAGGGAGCCTCACCCTAGCCTTTCCGTCTCCCTAAAAGCTTTCTCAACCTCCTGCCAAGAGTTCCAGCCTTTCTGCACCCCTCGCTCTCCTGGGGAAGTCGTCCCTGGTGTCTCACCTTCATTCCTCTTGCTGTGGCACTGAGGAAGTATTTCCAGGGCATGTGAGAGAAGAGAGAGGCTGGAGGGAGGGAAGAAGACCAGAGTGGGAGAGAGAGGTGGGCGCAGAGACTTGGAGGGAGGGAAGGAAATCACAACAGGCTCGCCGGGAAAGAGGGAGACACCTCAATAGCCATGTCTACTCTAAGCTTGTAAGTCCTTTGTGACTATTTCAGCTTCCTCCAGAGCTCCTAACCCTCCCTCTGCAGATGAGGGAGGGGAAGAGAAGGGAGGGGAAGAAAAGGGAGGGGAGAAAAGGTGGCTCCCACAGAGGGTATTGGTGCATTATGACATTAAGACACACTATACACAGAGATGTCCCAGGTCCCCACAGCACAGCTCCTGAGTGAGCTCTGCCCGGCCAGCTCTTGCCAGACAGAGAGGGTGTTGCAGGCATCCTGCTAGAAATGCAGTCATTCACACATACTCACACTCTCACACCAAGGCTGAAAATGCTCCCCACTTCCTGAGCTCCTCCCCCAGGCCCCTTTAGCCTGAACCCAGACCCCCAGGAGGGTCTCAGAGCCATTTCCAGCAATGCCCACACAGATGGGCCCTTGCTGGGACTTGCCCCATCCCAGGCAGGCAGCCATGATATCCAAACCTGAGCCCTGCCCTCCAGACGTGCCCCAGGGAAGGGGCTCTGGGAGTTACCCTCCGCACCCTCCCAGGCTTATCCTAGAGGGGGTGGGTGCTACCCTGGAACTCTCACAGCACAGGGGCCCTGAGCAGAGGTCTCAGGCCCCGGCTCTCCCTGGCCCACTCACACTCCACCAGCCTGAGGCTCTGCCCTCTCAAGGCAAGCAGGGTTGGGGGAGAGGCCCTCCTGCTGGAAGCACAGAGATCAATGGAAAGGGAATCTTTCCCAGGCTCTTCCTCAACCCCCAGCCAGCTTTGCTGCTCACCTGCCCCTCCTACCCCACCCCCAGATCCCCCAGTAACTCAGGGTGAGCACTATGCTCCCATTCACAACATGTGCATACACGTATGAGCCCCACACTTTCACAGACACGATGAAGAACGATACAAGAACACGTGCCCCAAACCTTCAGGTGCAGGGCTCTCCTGGGGAGAGGCCCCCTTAGCAACATCCAAACCCCGGTGGCAGCAGGGCGAGGGTGAGAAGGCATCTCAGTCCACCTTCCAGGTTCCTCTGTGAGCCCCTCGCTGCCCTTTTCCTGCCCATCCGGCGTCATGCAGGCCCCCCTGCCCCTCCCCAGCCCCATACCTGGGCTCAGGCACACGAGCAGAAGGTGGAATGCTCTGCGGACTCTCATGTCTCTAGGCTCAGCGTTTCCTCCTCCTGGGCTGGGATTCCTGGGGCCGGTGGCTATGGGGCCAGCGGTGTTGTAGGGACCAGTAGACGGAGGGGGAGCTGAAGGCCCAGATGCTGCCCGGAGTGGCAGGAAGGTGCAGTGAGGGCCCGGCGGCCGGGGAGCAGCCAGTTATTACTATGAGAGGGAGGGGGCCTGGTCCCCGCCTTGGGGAGGAGTCCCAGGAGCCCTAATTAGCAGGGTGACAGAGTGGCTTACCCAGCCCTTCCCCAAGCTCTTCCCTATGCTGACAGTGGTGCAAGACGGCCAACGGGACATGTAATTAGGCACCTGTTAAACGTCCACTTCCTCCCGGCCCCAGCCTCGGGGTGACGACAGTTGCCCAATTTTCCAGTGTCCACGGGGCTCCCCTCACCACACATTTACTGCCTCCTTCCCCAGGGGAAATGCAGAAGAGGAAGGAGAAGACAGGCTGGGGATGGAAGGGTGGTCAGGCCTTGAAGGGCTCACACTGATCCCAGGACACTGGTGTCTGACACGCCCGCCCAGCGCAGGCTCCAGCATTCCAAACTGCGGTCCCCTCCTCCTATCCCTGACCCTCCAGACCCCCTCCCACCCAGGTCAAAGTCTGTGGGAAAGGGCACCAGGGAAGGGGTCACTGGGGCTGGAGGGGAGGTGCCGGCTGATGAAAGGGCCCCAAGACTTCAAAGGGAGTCAGGCCTCCTGAGCTGAAAGAAGGAGGGAAGGGGTGTGTTGGGGAACAGGGTCTTCCCCTGGCTGCCCCCTCTGGAGCTGTGCCCCCCATCCATACCTGACGTGAGGTCACCCCCAGGTGCAGGGGATCCCTGGGAGCTGGGGGTGTTACAAGGGATCCAGACCCCCATCTCCCACACAGATCTAAAACCAGTTCAGTGAGGCCTAAGAGGAGGACCAGGGTGTGTGGAGTGAGTGAGGTGAGCGGACAGGTGGGTGAGGGGCTGCTAGGGAGAACAGCGCCAGGAGGGCCAGGAAAGGGGTGTGCCTGAGTGCCCGTATACCCCCTCACCAGGATGTGTCCTTGCATCTTTGTTGAGGAGCGCCAAGCCCCTCTAGGTGCCCCTCTTTTAGGCATCGCTTGGTACCCTGGCTTCTATGCACAGGAAGGGAAACCAAGAACCTCATAACCTGGACTGGCATCAGGTGACTAAGACGTCACAGTTCTGGGCAGGTTGGAGCTGGGGTGGGGAGGTCCTGCTGGGCAGAGGGAGAAGATGGAGGGCCAGCCCTTGCTCATTGGTCCAGGGGGTCCCAGAACAGGCCTTGGTCCTCCCCTGGATTCCAGGACTGCCCCATAAACAGTGGTAGGGGCCTGGTCATGAGTTGCCTTGTTCAACAGCTCAGCCCTCTCAAAGGAATCAAGGGCCTGCCCTCGTCGCTGACAGATGCACAAGAAGGGTTGGGGGGGAAGAGTTTTGGAGAGAGTTATGGGGCTCAGGATGCTGCCAGGGCCCACCCCCGGGAAAAAAATAAGACAGAACAATAAGGAAGCACAAGGACTCCGTGCATCTCTGCATTCCAGCCCCCCAGCTGCACTCCCAACAATAACAGGGTGCTCTGGGACCCACAAAATGTACACAATGAATATCCTTATTTCCTAATTTATTTTGAGGATTATGGGGTTGTCCTGCACACTCTGGAGAGCAGGGATCATTATCCCCACTTCACAGATGGGGAAACAGAAACCTGGAGAAACATGAGGATTCAGCACAGGTGATGCTGCTGGGGCCTAAGTGGGGGTATGCAGGCGTCCTGACTCTCAATCCAGAGTACACCAAGAAAAGGGCATGGTGACCCTATGTGTTACCAGCCCCACCCATGGGGAAAGTCAGTGACGGATGGAGGGGTGAACAGGTGGGACCAGGAAGAGGGAGTCTGCAAAGAGAGGAGTGAGTTAGTGGTTCCATTAGTCTGAAGTATAAGGCTGGAGTTTAACTGGGTTCTGGATTTTAGCTGATGTTAGAGTTGGAGTGAAGCCTGGAGCTGGGATTAAGGTTGGGGTTAGTTAGGTGGAATGATCAATGAGGATGAGGTCAGATTTGAGGTTGGGATGAGGGTCAACACTGAGATTAAGCCTAGAACAACAGCTAGAACTGAGGCCAGGGTTTATGGCTGGGACTCATGTTATGATAAGGAATAGTGTTTTAGCTTCCTTCAGACCTTTTCCTGGGAATACAGTTAGAGCTAAACTGAAGGCTGGGGAGACTGATTTAGGATTGGATTTATAACTGTGTTAGACTTTAGTTTGGGATTTGAGTTAGAATAGGCTGTGGTTAGGGTTAGAACTTGGGTTAAAGTTATATGGACAGAGGATTCATGGGGATCAAAACTTAGGTTTTATTTATGATATAGAAAGACCTTAGCCTCCATTCACTAAATCTCACTTTGGTTAGAATTTTCATCCCTTTGCTCTGGGAGAATACCAATGGCACATGTTGATTGGGGTCCCAAGATTTTGGCAAGAGTTCCAGATACACAGGAGCCCATCTCAGGGGTGTGAAGCAACTGAATCCCACAACAAATGTAACCTCTGAAATTCTGCTCCACGACCTAAGCTCACCACCTGGTCAAGCTCCCAGAAGGGCATTTGGGGAGGGGATGCAGGAACGTACAGCAATGAGTGGGGCTCTGACACCAAACTGAATTGGAAGATGGGGTCCATCAGAGGCAGTTTTACTAGGGAGGAGGGGAGTCCTGGTTTTGGAGTCTAGGAGCCGGGAGTTGGGGAAGACTGAGGGCGTAGATGCTCTCGGAAGAACAGCCACTTTTGAGGGCTCCACACAGGGGCCCCTCAAAGCCTCAAAAGGCAGGGCACATTGTTGCTCTCCTTTGACCCACCTACGTCTAATTGCCGCCTCCTTGCAATCTGGGGCCCATTAAAGAAACTCTCAGCATTCCTGCCCTGTGCCCTGAGCCTTGCAAGGGTTTTGAGGGGGCAGTGTTGGAGTGAGGGCACTGGGGCATCAGCTCAGTTTCCATAGCACAAGTCCAGCCCATGGCCCCTCCCCTCGGACCAGCCCACAGCTCACATTACTCTGTGGGCTTCATCCTCAGCAGAGGAAGAGGGCCCATTCCTGGGAGGCCACCGCCCCCAACTCCTCCCTCTCTTCTTCCCCACCAGTCTCAGCCCCAAACATCCCATTGCCCCATCCACTTCCTTTTCAGGTCCCATAAAGGTCTGGACAGATCTCGGAGACTATTGGGATTGCCTCTGTGCCCCCAGGGAGAAAGATATTGGGAGAGGCAGTGGTTAGAAAAGGAGCAGAGAAACACATGTGCCATCCAAATGGCCCAACCAGAGGCTGAGAGAGAGACAGGAGGCAGAGGGCCCAGGCTACAATCAGGGTCCCAGCACACCAGTTTCCAAAAGGGCCCCTTGCTTTTCCCTGAGTAATCCATAGCTCCCCGGGGGGGCAGAATGGCCCCTCTCTTCTGCATACCCCCCCAAGATTGGGTTGTATTAGCTTCTGTTCTAAGGCAGAAGCAGAAACACAAAGACAGAAGCTTGGAAAAGAGTGAACGGAGGTACAGAAGCAGAGAGAAGAGGTGAGACAAGGACCCAGAGAAGCCCAGAGACTGCTTCTGAGAGGAGGTACAACCCAACCCCAGAACATTGCGGGGAGGAGCAGGCCAAGGATGTGGCCCATCTACTCTTCCTCCAAAGTGCTGTTCACAGCAACTCTGCACGCCTGTAGCCTCTCCCCTCACCTGCCTGGACCTACCCCCAACCCCTCTCCCCAGGCCTCCCAGGCTCAGATTCAAGCCCCTCATTTCCCCTCCAGGGCCCCAGATCTGCAGCTTGACCCTTTCTAAGCCCTCACACACAGAGTCAGCAGGCTCCTGAGCCCCTCTCCCAAGTCCCCCTGTAGACCCAGGCTCACCCCTGCAACATCCATGGAGTGAGAAGCAGCCCTTGGAGTGGCCATGTAGAGAAAACCTCAGAGGAAATGGTCTGGGAGTAGGAGGGCCATGGGATAGACAATGCCATGCTTAGAGAGGACGGACAGAGGCACAGGGCACACACAGTCACAGAGGGGTCAGGGAGCCCCAGCAGCTGCTGCCCTTCCACCAGCTCTCAGTGAAGGTTTGGGGTTGGAGGACCTCCAGGTGAGGCCCTGGCTTGGACGACAAGAGTGGTGGAGCTTAGAGGTGGTACAGGTGGTGTGATGGGAGCAATTGCGTTGAGATGACAAAGGGTTACAGTTAGCTGTAGAGAGAAAGACAAGATCCACGTGTGGGGTTCAGTTTCAGGAATGGGATTGGGGTTTAAGGACTGAGGCCCAGATCAAGGCTAGTGGACAGAGCTTCTGACACGTGAGACCCAGGGATTCCCTGGGTCTTGGCTCAGGCTTCC